AGAGCGTCATGGGGTGGGGGCGGTGGAGGCTGAGACGGAGGAGCAGGGTGGGGGCTTTGAGTATGGAGTTTCACAGGGAGGTGAGTGAGGCAGGGGCTGAGACCAAGGAGCCTTGCAGGGCAGGGGCTGTGAGTGCGGAGGTTCATGGGGCAGAGGCCACAGAAGTGGAGGAGTGATGCTGGGCATTGGACATGGCCCTGATTGCAGCTAGGCTTAGGGATCTTAACCACGCACGATTTAATCGTGCACTGGGCCTCTAGTAAAACTATAAAAGGAATGAGGCAGCTCTCTGTGTATGGACATGGATGCCCTCCAGGATGTTAAAAAGCAAGTTGCAAGGGGAGTGGGAGCGGGTGGGGAGAGGTCAATTGGGGGGAAAGGAGACATAACTAATACTTTCAACAGTAACTACTCTTTTTTAAAAAAAGCAAATTGCAGAAAGGTGCTATGACATGCTAGTTTTGTGCAGGGTATAACAATATATATGCAAATGTACTTTTAATGACTCAAAGAAGCCCTACGTGAATAAAGATAAAGTAATAATCATGGGGTGGGAGCAGGAGGTGGGATGGTTAGGGGACAGAAGTGAGTGTGCAACTGCTATATATTTTACATAGTTTTGCCTTTTGAACCATGTAAGTGTAACACCTGATTATTCAATATAATTTAATTCAAAGGATAAGTTAATTATATACCCAATAAAAAATAAAGTAGGGACAATTAATTTTCCTCCAAATGTCCATTAAATACCTCACCAGCTGAATGAGAACTAATACATGTGAAATTAAGGGCCCCGAAACGAAGCAGATTTTCTAAAGTTGATATTAAGATGCAAATATCTTTCTTCCTCTTCAGAAAATAATCATAAAACCATATTCTAATGGAAGGCTAAATGAGATATACACACATATTTTTTCTCTCTCTCTCTCATTCACACACACACACACACACACACACACACACACACACACACCAGTCTTCTCTTCTTTGGAGCAAAGCAAAATGAAGACTGGTTTAACAATTATCCTACCTCTGTCATTCCACTGAGATGGCCTGCTTTTGGATCTTCATCTTAGTCATGTTTAACACTGAAAAACTATTGCATGGGAAGGGAAGGCAAAATATGAACTGAGAAGCTACATCATAGCATCAGGCAGGTCGAGCGACATGGGTGTCACCTGCAATAGCGGAATGTGGGTTGGCATTTGAAAAGGAATCTCCAACACGAAAACTGCACGTGTCTAAGTCATGGCAAACCCTAACTAGGAAACTCCCTTTCAGCTTCCTATGGAAAACCGCACAGGCATTTGCACGCACCCGCACGCACTCGCACGCACCACACCGGTGCAAGCTATGGACAGGGCTGTTTTGCACGGATACTGTCTCCAATAGATGCCCAGACCAAGGTGGCCAGGTGCTGGTGCTGTGCTTACCGGCGCCACCGTGGAGTAGAGCTGCTGTCTCACCAGCGTCAGGTCCCGGAGGAGGGTGACGAAACTGCACAGACAGTTCAACAGAATCTTGCGTGCGGCCTGGTTGAACACCTGGAGCTCCTCCACAAGCTGGGCGTTGAGGGCCTCGTACTCCTTTTTGGCCAAGTCTGACTCCTCCCCTGCTGCCCGCTGCAGGTAGCTGTTGTAGTCCAGTAGCTTGTCATAGCGTTTCTGGATGAGTTTCTGAGGCCCTGGGAACAGGGACAGCAGGGTTGACAGGGGCGTCAGGACGAGCTTCTGTAAGTGAGCTGCCTGCGGAGAGAGGAAACAATCCGGTCACGGAGCAGCCAGCGCTGCTATCAATGGGCTTCCTTCCTCCCTGCAGGAGCACCAGGGAGACGGCCAGGTACCTAGCCAAGTTAAAGAAGGATCCGATCATTTTTCCGGCGTTGGGATCACCTCCTTCCACGCCTTCCCTTTCCCCCTATTTCTAATCCCAGTGCCAGCACGTAGAGGGAGGGGGTGACCTCCAGCCTGTGACTGCCCAGACTGCATAAATGATTCACCTGTCATTTTGCTGGCAATACAAGAAAGAGAGTCTGGAACGGAGTGCCAGCGGCCTGCAGAACAACATGCCGAAGTTTTGTTGTGACTACTGCGATACATACCTCACCCATGACTCTCCATCTGAGAGAAAGACACACTGCAGTGGTAGGAAACACAACGAGAATGTGGAAGACACTATCAGAAATGGATGGAAGAGCAGGCTCACAGCCTGACTGACAAAACAACTGCAGCAATTCAGCAAGGAAAGATACCTGCTACTCCATTCTCAGCTCCCCCTCCTGCAGGGGTGATGATCCCACCTCCCCCGAGTCTTCCTGGTCCACCTCTCCCCGGTATGATGCCAGCACCCCATATGGGGGGCCCTCCCATGATGCCAATGATGGGTCGGTCCTCCTCCTCCTGGGATGATGCCAGTGGGACCTGCTCCTGGAACGAGGCCTCCTGTGGGAGGGCACATGCCAATGATGCCTGGGCCCCCAATGATGAGACCTCTCACCCGTCCCATGATGGTGCCCACTCGGCCTGGAATGACTCGACCAGACAGATAAGGAGACAGGGGAGCCTCTTTCTATCAGGCAAGGAGAAAGGGGAGCCTCTTTCTAACAGGCTTCTGTTACTTGTTCTTCACAGGAGATCGAGGTGCTGTGATTCTGGGTGTTTTCTAACAGCAGACAAGGAAGACTCCCTCCCTCTTCCTAAGGGAGAATAGTTTT